CAGTAATTTTGAGCTGAAGGCTCACATCGCCATGCAGATCAGATCAACCAGACGGAATGCAGACATATTGCGCATAGCGAACGAGACTCCCAATCTTGTACCCCCCGAGCATGCAGCACTGAATGGTCAAGACGGCCAGCCTGGCGACGATGCGTTGGTTTCTGACGGGATGGAGTTCGGGAGGATGGTGAACATATCAGGGTATTCGCATCGCGGCGACGCCACGATCCAGGAGGCGATTGAGAAGAGCAAGTTGCATCCCAGCGAGGTCATATCGGTAGCTGTCACAGCAGATTCGGTTCGTGAGGCCGCGCGCCTCGAAGATTTCATGGCTTTGGCTGCTCCATGGAACCGCGGCCTCCCTGACCCCCAGGTTCGGGTGTCCAACCACGTGGGTACAAGTGCGCCCTAGATCGAAGGGGGCCCACGTTTCCCCCAGGCCCTCTAGCACGTTGTCGTTGCCCCGTTCCTCGTCACAGAGAGGACGCTTGTGCTTGCGTGGTTGGTTGGCCGAGAGGTGGTCAGCGCTGGGGCTGGAGCAGAGCTGTATAACATGATGCTCAGAGAGTTTTGAAACGTTGGCTGCGAGCATTGGATGACCCCACCACCAGAGGGCATGGTCAAGCTGCATGCGATGTGCCTCGACCACGGACCTGACAACCAAGGGGCCTCTGGATTCATAAAGAAAGTTGTTCTTCGGGATATGCCGACGACGATGTTCAGCGTAGCTTCCTGCTTTTTCCACCAGTACCACCTCGTCGTTCAAGATTTGTTAAAGACGCTGGATGGATTCACGTGGGCGAATGCTGACTTCGGTCGGCCATATCTCTCGGCCCTGTCTATCATCTGCAATTGTTGGCGAACAGTTGGCCACCCCAAGAAGATCCACGACCGCGCGAAGCGTGATTTCGGCATTGGTGCGGCAGAGATGTATGCGAAGAAGATCCCCGCGCGAGCACTTAGAGGTCGTTGGGGGTACGGTGATGCAGTCGAGACGTTGATTGACGCAGGGTCGAACGTGCTGCCCGCCGTGTTCTCCAATCTCTTCAAGCCAGCCGCGGCCGCCGCGAAGGGGAAGGCGAGGGCTGCTCCAGCGCCACCTGGCGGTGACTTGGCAGACGATGATCGTGAGCGGAAGAAGCAATCTACCCAGATTTCAGGTGCGTTGATGGGGTCTGACATGTTCCGAGCGACTCTCAGGATCAGCTTGATTGCGAAGGGGCCTCTGACTCATTTCTTCAAGTGGGCCAAGAAGCGGCGACACGAACTCTTCGTTAACCGGGCGGCCGCTGAGCGGGGTGGCCATGCCCACTTTGGGGCAGCATTCCTTTCGGACCTGGTTGGGTACAAAGCTGCAGAGATTATGGCTGATATATCTGGGTTTCTTGCCACTGGTGGGTTCGAGCGAAAGTGGGCCAGCGTGTGGCAGCTCGCTGGCGGCGTCAACATCCAGGACGCGAGGGTTCTCATCATTTCGCTGGTGCTTCAATCGGCTTGTGCATGGAAGATGCGTTTTCTGAATAAAGTGGAGCGCTTTCCCTTGCGATTCCTTCGGTGTCTCGAGAATGGCCCTCGAGTTGATTGCGATGTCAGGCGGGGCGTTGCTGCCGACCTACTGGGTGCATGCGGCGGCTGTCTCAAGAGAGACCATAGCGACATTGCCGTGAAGGCGAGGGATCTGTATCTGGGCGAGTGGCGACATATGCAGGCGACTGGGGCGTGCCCTGCAGGGCTCTTCAGCTTCCTCCTTACTTGGAGGGCCTTGCAACAGGGGGGCACCCAGGAGGTCGATGGGTGGAACAGCGTGGTGCAGCTGATAGCGAGGAGGGCTCCCACGATCCGCTTGCCATTGGCAAGCGCAAGGATGAACCTCAAGCATGGCGAGAAGATCTCAGTGGAGGAGCGTTGCTCAATGGTCCAAGCAATTGCCAAGGAGCGGACATCGGAAAGATTCCAACGCCGCTTCGAACCAATCCCACTCGATTACCCGACATGCCACCCCTGCGTGGATGCACCCCCCGACCAAGTGTGCAGGTGCATTCGAGACCCGATAAGTAGGAAGAGCATGCACTTCGCGAGTTGTGCGTCAGATAGTGGGCTGTCAGTTGGGGCTCGACACATCTACGTCGTCCAGGAGGTCGGGAGGCACTCCTTAGGGGACGTCAGGCAACTGACTGAGGCCTTCACTGTGAACCTCTCGTACAGGAAGTCCTTCTGGGCAGTGGCAGGGGCGTTGTCTGTGCGCGATGGCGAACTTGAGTTTTGCCTGGGCGTGCCTTTGCACGCCGAGAAGTTGCACGGACACTTCGACCGCGCAGTACGACGTACTTTGGAGAGGTGGGCCCGCAGTTCCATGCGAAGCATCAATGCGATCGGCGTTGGGAAGTTGGCAGTCCACTGGAAGTCTGAGAACGTTGCCATTGTTGACTTGGCCTCCCTCCGCGTTCTTCGCCTCAAGCCGGCCGCGAAGGCCAGGGTTCCACGTGCTGCTGGCGATGGCGCGCCTGGTGGCCACGCCGCCATTGGGGGCGCCGTTCCTGAAGGGCCTGGAGATGGGGGGGGCGATCGCGAGGGGGCATCAGACGAGGACGGTGGGATCGACCTGGATGCCGCAATGGAGGAGATCATGGGCGACGACTTCGGGGAGTTCGGCGTCGGCGAGGAGAGCGCCGACTACTCCGAGAACGCTGCTGGCGCGGCGGGTGGAAGCGATGCGCGAGATGACGTCGTTGAGGATTTGGACTTCGAGGATATCTCGGTTTCGGTTACCTGCCGCGGCCCTCCAATGCGCCGCGCTCCCCCGAATGGGGGCCCCCTTCCCAAATCAAGCACTGACCGCTGTTGTTGCCCATCCCACTTCCATCTTCTTCTTGGGGCTGAGCGGGGGGGCGCGGCGCATGGGGGCGCGCGGGGGGTGGGCGAAACCGCCAGGCCCCGACCGTGCACCCCAGGGTCGTGCATTGCATCTGCGCTGGTGGCATCCAGCGGGCAGCTATTCTGGATCAGACTTGCAGGATGTGCGCTAGCAACGCGGAGCTGGTGGCCGCAGCCAGAGAGCACGCGGCCAAGCGTGCGGACCACATCATACAGCATGGGGACATCTCGTTGGTAGAGGTGAAGAGGCCGCTGGACGAGGACACGTTCGACCACCAGGTGTTGTTCGTGAGATGGGAGAGGTGCCGAGGAGAGCCGATGACTGGCAGGCGAATCCGACTCGACCACAGGCGCGGCATCATCTTCAACGTTGCGCACCTTGTTGAGCTCGAGGAGTGGCCGAGCCCAGCGACGAACATCATTGTGCGGAAACTTCCCGTGGACATGGTAAAACGCAAGGGTGTCGACCGAGAGAAAATGCCACGCTGGGCAATTGCTCTGCAGAGACATGCTCAGTGCCAGGAGTTCTGTGGGCCTTTTGGCCCTTATTGAGGCTGAGGTCGGGCACGATATGTCAAGCATGTGTGTGTTATGCAAGTGTGCGTCAGATATCGACCCAGATACTCTTGAGTTGCCGACGTATGCGTGCACCCGCTGCACCTCGAGGTGGCACGCGTGCTGTGCGAATTCGGTAGCTGATGCTGCCAATGCTGACTTGAAGAAATTCGTTTGCTTCTTTTGTCTGTGAGCCTGTAAGCCTCACACTGTGAGCCGTGGGCGAGACGCAAGCGTCGAAAGGAACGATTGTGGGAGTGGAGAAGATTACCGATGCAGGTTCTCCTGGGCCGTGCTCTTGGGCGTTCTGGAACGTCTGGTGGTCTGGTGGTCTGGTGGTATGGCGGTCTGACGATCTTGTGGTCTGGTGGTCTGGTGGTCTGGTGGTCTGATGGTCTGGCGGTCTGGTGGTCTGGCGGTCTGGTGAACTGGTGGTCTGGTGGTCTGGTGGTCTGATGGTCTGGTGGTATGGTGGTCTGGCGGTCTGGTGGTCTGGCGGTCTGGTGGTCTGGTGGTCTGGCGGTCTGGCGGTCTGGTGGTCTGGCGGTCTGGTGGTCTGGTGGTCTGGTGGTCTGGCGGTCTGGTGGTCTGGCGGTCTGGTGGTCTGGTGGTCTGGCGTCGTCGGGCAAACGACGACGCAAGCGCGAGCAAATGCAGGCCAGCCCAAGGAGTTGGGGGAAATGGCGTACCAATCTAGTGATTGGTACGCTATTTCCCCTCTTAGGTTTGGGGGCAGCCCACTGCTGGCTTAGGGGCTCATACGTCATGTGTGTCAACCTAGTTGAGAATTGCGCAGTGTTTTTACCAATGGTTTTGATAGTGTATGTGTGGTTTTATCAGTGTAATTGATAATGTGATTGTAGTGGTGGGTTGTTTACCAATGTTGTATAATTGCACGTTATTGTCATCAATGTGTTTGAAAATGACATGTGTGACATTATCGATATGTTTGATAATACGGTTGTCTGGTGTTTGATAATGTGTTTGGTACTTGTGTTGCTATGCGCGCATGGTTATCAAGGTGTTTGATAATTCGGCTGGTTGGTTGAACGGGTTATGAATATGTTTGATAATGTGTGTTGCTATGTGCGCATGGTTATCAATGAGTTTGATAATTCGGCTGTTTGGTTGAACTGGCTATCAATATGGTTGCTAATGGATGTTGCTATATTGTCAATGTGTTTGGTAATTGGCGGGCTGAGCGCATTTATCAATGTGTTCGATAATGTAGTCGTGGGGGCTTGGCTGCAACGCTCATTGCGTTATCAATGCGTTTGGTACTTTCGTGGTCTGGCGAGGGCATTATCAACCAGTTTGAAAAAAAAGCCGAGGGCCCCATTTTCAACCTCATTGAAAATGTGTCCAGTCGGCGCCCCTGTTTGTTCAATGCGTTTGATAATGCAATGTCGCCCACAAGGGGCGCGAATGTAATCGCGGTTCGCGCTTCGCGATCTGGGCTGGAGAGTTGCCATTCTACATCGGGGTTGGGGGGGGGGCGCGAGGGCGCGAAGATTCTTGCGCCTCGCGCTTCGCGCAGCGCGAAGCGCGAAGCTAGGCGACCTAAATAATGCATGCTGTGCTCGGTGACGTTCGGCGCTGGTGAGGCGCCCTCGAGGGCTCAGTTGGCATCTGGCAGAAGCCGTTGTGGCTCGGAAGGCTACCAGCTGCTGCGACCGAGGGTTGCAACCTAGACCCTAGAGTTGCCAGCGGGCTCGCGCCCGCCCGCTCAGGGCGCGATGGCGATGACGACCATCGTGCCGCACAACAGGAGCCAGCAATGCCACGACGACGATGATGATGTCATGTGGGGCGATCGCTGCCCTCACGTTCGCGTGCGTTGGCCTGACCTTGTGGGGGTCACGATGCAGCAGAGGGTGACCCAGCTGTACTGCCTGACGGAGTCCATCTGGGTCCCCGCAGCCGTGGAGACAGTGGACGGCTTTGTGGACATGCGATAGGAGCCCGTTCAACAAACGAGGTGACGCAGCCAGCGTGCAGTCTCGCAAGCGCTCGGCCGAGAAAGTTGGCATCCTCAACGTTCGCGCTGGGCCCTGGGTTGTGCCGAGGGACGAGATCGACATCACTGCGTACGCGGATAAGGCTTCCAAGACCACGAAGGCTGTCGCGCTCCAGCGCTACAATTTGCTCCACTGGGCCACGCTCTACGAGGGCTTGCAGGCTGCCGTGGGCGACGAAGGCAACGCTGGCAACTCAGTCGTGGAGGCGTCGTTGCGGGATGGCCCCCAGAATTGCAAAGTGTTCCACAAGCGAACTCCCGCGTACGTGCAGGAGTACCTCGCCGACGTTGGCAACGATACGGACGACGAGCAGAGTTCGCGGACTGCCCTCCAGGTGTCGATGTCCCATGACAGCGTCGAGTCGACCTTCTTCCAGGAGAAGAAGCTGTACGAGTGGTCAGTGGCAAGCTTGGGCCAGCGGCAATACGCAGAGAAGGGGTTCGAGGTCGCTGAGAGCATGTTCGTTAACCGTTGGCGTTCGAGCCACCAGTATGATCAGAGCCTCAGCGCATACAAAGAAGCAAAACATAAAGTCAACGTGCTGCCCTCGGGCACGAGAGTCTGGGACGCCGTGTGGGAGCAGAGCCAGGCCAGCGTTGATTGGATGCACCCCGCGATCAACGGCAAGCACTGGAACGTCATCGACAACTTCGTGCATTGCATGAAGCTCGTGAAGAAAGGCTTCCCTGGCTACGCCGTGGACTTGTTCCTGTTGTCGTTGTCCCGCATTCCGACCGCGGTCGCGGGGGTCTCAACCTTCCTCCCGCAGGGCCTGGACACCAGCAAGTTGCACTGTTTGACCGAATTGCACGTCGAGAATCTCTTGTTGCCCATGGAAGGGAGCACGGCGCTGAAGGATGTCCAGGCAGCGAGGGTGGAGGCTAGCGCCGAGAAGAAGGCGCACAAGAGGCGTCGGACCGTTGCACTCGAGGAAGGGCCTGGCCTGGACCCGGCCAGGACCATGGTGTGGCTGGGCGACTTGACTAATTTCTTTGATTGCTGCTCTTCTAAGCTCAGGTGCGATGCAGACGCGATCAACAGCATGAAATATATTTCAATTTATGCGACTTCCACTGGCTCCGTATGCCTCTACTCTCAGCCCAACGGCCAGAAACAGACCGTCATCACCAAGTGGAGCATTCTGAGAAAGATAAGGAAGAAGGGTGCTTATCGGCGATCCCAGCTTCAGCCGAGGCCGACGGACCCTGACTTCAACGTGGGCGAGACCTTGGACGCCGCGCCGATTCAGGAAGACGTTCACGTCCCCTCCGAGGACATGGTCCCCGACTACTTGCCTGTCGTTGGGGGCACCGTGGCGCACTTGAAGAAACACCCGCCCGATGACGAGGAGTCCTGGAAGACCATGGTCGCCCAGGGAGTCGGGGCCGTGGTGATGAGTAGCATGGCCAAGATCTACAGCAATAAGGACTGCAGCCCTGGGGCTGCTTCGAAGTACGTGGTGGAAGCGGCCGCAGACTTCGCGCTCGCGCTACTTCCCTTCAATGTCGACGTAGACTTCGAGAAGTTGCTGCGGGCGATCAAGGACATGAAGTCGGATGTTCCCGAAGCGTGCCAGCAGCGCGTGATTTTCCAAGAGAAGGGCTTTCTCAAACCCAAGTCCATGCGATGGAATCTCGCGATTCGCGTGGTGTGCGAGATGGGCCAGGTCAGAACTCCCAGCGGGGCCCAGGTCATCGGCAATGAGGTAATAAAGGTGCTCGAAGTGTGCAAGGACTCGTTCAAGTTCTGCAGTGGCGCGCAGGATGAAGAGCCCCGGGTGGTTGGGGCCGAAGCAACCTACAACCTGACGTTCCACGATGCCCTCGACAAGCTCTACGGCGCAGTTCTGACGTTCGTGGCCCACGACACCGCGGCCCTCGAGAACGACGCGGCGGCTTTCAAGGAGAGGATTTGCAAGATGAAGGGCAGCAGGAGAAGTGCAACTTCTCAGTCCCGAAGTCGCACGACATGTTCCCTGAGCAGAAGCAGGCCGTGCTGAATGAAATCGTGAAGTGTTGGGAGGCCACCTACCCCGGCTTCAATATCGTCAAGCTCGCTGGCCGCTGCGTGAAGGGCGAAGCTTCGCCTGCCGATGTCATGGAGGTGGGCCTGCGTCTCTCGATGCCAGCTCCGCCCGCGGGTGCCGGCGCCGGGGGCGCCGCCGCGGCGGCGTCGAGCGGCGACCTTCCCGCGGAGGTCACCTGCGAAGACGACGAGGACAAGACGTACTACGTCGATCAGTGGTTCAAGAAGGCGTGCGAGGCGGAGGTTGGCATTGAGAAGGAGGTGGAGCTCAAGCCGCCAGGGGCGGGTGCGGTCGCATCCCCCCCATTCTCAGCGGTTTTCCTTCGCCACTTGATCAACCAAGTGCAGGAGAAGCTCTTCCCGCTGCACCTTGATCCCAAGTTGCAGGGGGTCGGCTTGGAGAAGCTGGTGCTGGAGCAGAAGGCGCACTCATCTTCCACGGCGATGGTCATCAAGCAGAGCGAGCCTGGCGACGTGCAGCTCAACTTTCGCGGCAGTGTGGTCGAGTACGAGGAGACGCGCGGGTTGTCCGAGTCGTCGCTGCTGCACCTTGGATCCTCCAACGGCGTTTCGCTCTTCCTCAACGGCAGCAGGTTCCAGAACTTCGAGAGGAGCGACTTTAACTTGGCCTGGCTGGTGAAGGTGGCCCCAGACAAGAAAGCAGACGATTCGTCATCCCACGCGCCCGAGGTCAAGAAGAGGAAGAGCAATAAGAAGGAGGCGCCACCCGTGATCACTCACAAGTTGGCGTTCGAGTCGGTCGAGTTCGACCTGGTGGACCCGAGGACCAAGCAAGTCTACGCGTTCTCGTTCAAGAAGCCGCTCCTCGTCCCGAACCCCGACCTGACAGACGACCAGAAGATCGGCGAGCTGCTGCGCGAGAAGGCTGCTGGCGTCGGCGATGTCATCGCAAGGAAGATGCCGAAGGCTCCGACCACATCTTTCGCGATCTGTTGAGATCGCTGCCGACGGCAGCGGCTGCCGTTGGCCGTGCGACAGCAGCAGCAGCCGCTAGCCGCGAGGAAATCATGTGGGACTGTCATGATGATGATGATGCTGAGATGCTGAAGATGATGGTGCTGACGATGATGATGATGTCATGGTGATGATGGCGAGGCTAGATCACTGGGCAACGAAAGAGGAGGACGAGGATGGGGAGGAGCTCTAAGAGGGCCCTAACAGAGCTCTAAGGGGGGGGGGGGGCCCAAGAGGGCCGTTCCTTGTTGGGGACGCCGTCGCTAGTAACTCGCACGGGCCCTGGAACACGCACGCACACGCACACGCACGCGCGCGCGCCGTTATCGGTAACTCGCACGGGAAAGATCATGCCAAGTTTATGTTGTCCCCTGTTGGGCGTGGATCTGAATAACAAAAAAACTATTGGTAACTCGCACGGGTCCTGGAACACGCACACGCACACGCACGCACCGTTACTGGACACTCGTGCGGGCCCTGGAACGCACGCACAAACACACGCACACACGCACGCACCCTTCCCAATAAGTCGTACGGGCCCTGGAACACACGCACACACACACGCACATACACACACCAGTACTGGTAATTCGCACGGGCCCTGTGACACACACACACACGCACGCACGCACGCACGCACGCACGCACGCACACACACACGCACACGCACGCACACACACACGCACACACACACACACGCATGCACACATGTGGATGACTGTATGAGGCTGGCTAGCCCACGCACGCATGCACGCTGTTACTGGTAGTTCGTACGTGTGGGTCCTGGAACACGCGCGCAAGTGCGAGCGCGTGCCCGTGCAGCCGAGCAGGGAAGAGGAACAGGAAGAGGGGGGGGCAGGGAGGAGGAACCCGAAGAAGACGAGGAGGAGGACCGCGGCAGAGGGAACTGCGAGGGCCAGGAGGGGGGAGCGCGGTGGCGGTGCTCCAGGACCGCGGCGGCCGCGTCGTCGTCGTCGCACCCTCCACCTCTTCCCCCCCCGTCCTCCTCGAGGGTGGTGTTTTTTTTTTTTTTTTTTTTTTTTTTTTTTTTTTTTTTTTTTTTTTTTTTTTTTTTTTTTTTTTTTTTTTTTTGTCTTCTTTTGTCGTTGTTGCCGTTGTTTTTGTCGTTGTCACCGCCGTTGTCGTCGTCGTCCTCCTTTTTTTTTCCGTATCTTCTTTCTTTTTTAACCCTTGGATGGTAATGCCAAATTCTTTTCTTCACCCTCTATCGTACCTATTTTGGCTTAAGGTTGAACTGCTTGGTTCTGGCGGCTTGAACTTGGTTATTGTCGACGGGGTTTGGTTCGATGTTGATTGTTCGCGAGGTAGCGGGTTCTCATTGTTTAAGGGCGGTTCCATGCGTGCTCTTGGCCCATTGTACCTAGCGCGCGCCCGCCGCTGAGGTTCCCGGGGTCTGTCACCCCCTCCGTCTGGGCCACAAATCGCCCGCTGCAGATGCTGACGTCGCCCGCGCCCTTGCGCCCAGCTGAAGTTCCACGCCCCCCAGGGCAAACCAAAGCATCGATCCAGAGTGACGGGGGGCATATTATATTTCCCTGGCACCATCGCGGAATCCAGACAGCGCGGGCGTGAACAATCGCTCAGGGCGCGGCCTCCCCAGGTGGGCGCCCTTCGACCGCGGGGTCTGGACAAGGCCTCGGATGGCCTTCTGGAGGTTCTTGGAGCGCTCTGGGTCAAGATGGGGTACCTGGGCATCTACCCCACCATCCTCCTCACCACCATCCTTGCCATGCTGTCCAAGCCCGAAGGTGGTTTCCGCCCGATAGCTCTGCTGCCAACTCCCACTCGGGTGTTTTCGAAGCTGTCGAGGGGCGAGATAAGGCGCTGGGAGCGTGATAATAACCGCGACTACTTGTGCGGCGCGCACGGCAAGAGCTGTGAACGTGCGGTATGGGGGCAGAGCTTGACGGTTGAGCAGCACGTCGGTGTAGGAGGCTGCTCAGGCGCCTGTCTCGTGGGCTTGACGAAGGCATGCGAGAAGGTTTGCAATTATCTGTTGGCCGTCGCGGCCGTCAATCACAAGTTTAACATAGTGAAGCTCCGCCTGCTGCTGTCCCTGTATCGTGGGCGTAGGATCATCCATGTGTGTGCGTGGTGTTGTGGGGGCCCCAGTGCTGGCCCTCCAGGGGATCCTCGCAGGTTGTGGGTTCGCGACAACCTTATTACGCGTGATACTCATGGACCCATTGGACCTCACCAGGGAGGGAGTGTTAAAATGTACAATGTGGTGGATGACATTACGGCCCAAGTGTCGGGCAGCAGGCAGCATGTTGAGAGTATTCTCGCTCGGGCCGTTTGTTTTCTGTGCCTTCAGCTCGAGGAGCTGCTGCAGGTCATTTCTCAGGCGAAAGGTCCCGTTATGTGCAGTCACTCGGCGGCGAGGGTGACCGCCGTATCTAGGCTTAAGAAGTGGAGTTTTACTGGCGTCAGCTCGGGCAGGAACTTGGGCTGCGACCGGACTATGCAGAAAGGAGCCAAGGGTTCAAAGGTTCTCCAAAAGCGCCTCCACAAGACACGTCTTCGGGGTAAAAGGATCCGTGGGCTCAGGAGTGCTAAGAAGGGAATGTTCAGAGTTGCTCGCGCGGGGGGCCTCCCCTCGGCCGCGCGCGGTTGCCGTGCCAATGGAATGTCCGCCTCTGCCCCGGGGGAACTCCGAGCGTGCCCCGGAAGTGCCCTTTTCGGAACGCCCAAGGGAAGGTGCAGGGCGCTGGAGTTTCTCTCATCGGTGGAGCCCAAGGCGGACCCATCGTGCGACGCGCATGCGTTGCCCATCCTTGCGTGGGGACAAGCCGCGCGCAGGGCGTGGGCGGAGCAGCGCATCATGCAGGAGTGTGTGAATTCGTTTTGCAGCCGACCTGTTCGTGGGTGGCAAGACGTCCGTGGACCCGCGGGCGCGGTCGTTCTTACAGTGGAAAGGTTAGGCTGGCAGGTGAGAAGCTGGTGTAAGTTTGTCACTGCTCGTGGAGTCGAAGTTGATGTGAGTTTCTTGGGCTACAGGTCCTTGAAAACCGTCTTACACCAAGCGGTTCGGGATATGCTGCTTCGAGGCCTTGGAGATGGGGAGCGGGTTCCTGGATTGACGGGGGGGCCCATGCTGGAGCCCGTCGTTGAGGTCCTCCAGAAGCTCGGGTGCCAAGAAAGGTTCGCGGCTGCTACGGGGCTCGCTGGGATCGTCTCGGGAGGGCACCCCACTCAGCTCACCCTGTTCGATGATTGTCGCGTCGTGGACCCTCTGTGCCAGCTTTGCGGCGAGGAGCTGGGGACGCCCAGCCGCAGATTTAGCTGTTACCCAGCCCATGGCGCTGTTCGCCGCGACCTTGACGTTGGCGAGTTGCTTGACTTGGACAGCAAGCCCGCCGACAGGCTGTTGGTCGCCCGCGCCCTGGCTCTGAGTCCCGAGTGGCAATGGCCAGCGCCGTACGCTGTCGCGGGGCACACGTGGGATGTGTTCCCTCCCGGAGGGCACCTGAAGCCTCGGATTTGCCTGGGCGGGTCTGGCTTGGACCCCGCCCTGCCGCAGTTCACCAGGGCTGGTTGGGCTGTGGTGTCGATGTCCTTGGATTCCTGGGGTGGTTATTTTACTGGATCGGCGTGCGGGCCCTTGCCGCGCGCGGTCCAGACCAGTGGCTCTGGGGAGGTGTTTGCATTGTTGATGGCCATGAGGCTCGCAGGGCCAGAGGCCATGGAGATAGTCACAGATTGCAAGGCCGTCTTGGACACTTGGAGGCTAGGGCCCATGCAGGATCTGGAAAAAGTTGCCTTTTCAGAGCTCTGGGAGGAGATCTTTAGGTTGGCTTCTGAGATCGGCATATATAGGATCACTGTGACTAAGGTTAAGTCTCACCTCTCCCTGACCCAAGCCCGTAGACTAGGAGTAGAAGACTGGAAATGGCTAGGGCACAAGAAGGCTGATGAGTTGGCTCGGCTAGGACCCCAGGCCCAATCCCATAATCCTTGGACGCGTAGGAGGTTCAAAGATTTGGAGCCCCTGATCAAGCAGTCTGCGTGGCTGATTGCTGAGATCATAGATGATTTATCGGCCCGTGAGTTTCCTGTTTTTTCAAAACTCAGCAGGCCTCGTCGGGCCAAGCCCTCTCTCTTGGAGCCGGTCCCCGACCCGAAGGGCCATGCGGTAGAATGTGTAGCCAAAGGATCTTAAATGTGTCTGCGCTGCGGAGAACGGGGAAGACCCGTGCCGCTGTCAGTGTGTTTCCCTGCGGTGGGCCACCACGGATTGCGCGGACCAGCCATAGAAGCCACCGTCTGCGGCTGATGGGGGGGAAGGTTGCCTGGTGCGTGCGTTGGGGGGGAAGGTTGCCTGGTGCGTGCGTTGCAGCGCCTTTGGGAGCGCTCGGGCCTGTGCCTACCTCCTCTCCGAATGCCATGGGTGTCCGCGCAACCGCCACGCAGAGCAGTCTCTGAATATGTTGAGGCGAGGAGTGGATCCAAGCACGAAGAAGTTCGTGGGACAATCTGTTCCACTGGTCTGGGGTGGGTCGGCTGGGCGTCCAAGGCGGCGTGCCCCCCCTAACCTAATCCAAATCCTTTTACCCAGCACTGTATTTCGCCGCTTTATCGCAGGCCACTGGCCTGCGGTGGCAAACGGCATATGAGCCAATAGGAGCCAATAGGAGGAGGAGGAGGAGGAGGAGGAGGGAGGAGGAGGAGGATACGGAGGAGGAGGAGGAGGAGGAGGAGGAGGAGGAATAATAGTAAGAATAATACTCATTAATAATAATAATACTAATAATAATATTAATAATAATACTAAGAATAAGAATACTACGAATAAGAAGAAGACGAATAATAATAATAACAAGAATAATCATACTAATAATTCTAATACGAATCATATTAGTAATAATAATATGTATGGTAATAGTAATAATACGTATGATAATAATAATAATACTAATAATAATATTAATAAT